TTCAGGCTGGAATGAGAAGAGGAGAAAGTGGTTTTTTAGTGACTGCATCATTGCTCAAATGTGAATGTATGTGTAATCCTTGTTGAAAGAGTAAAAGTCCTGCTTGACCAGGACTATGGCTTTAGATAGATTGATAACTTACGAGTAGCTGTATTGCTCTGGTTCTACATCAGATTTCAATTCCACGATCTCCACTTCAGGCGCGGCTGGGGCAGCATAGGCCAAAGCGAAAAGTGCGACGAAGACAATCACGAATTTCATTTTGAAATTTTTATTTGTTTTTCTGTGCTGTGTGTGTAGATCACGGAATCAGACTAATGAGTGTTGTAATCGATAGGCCGTCTTTGTGCTTTTATACTAAAATTTGTGATGAGGGCTATAGGGGTTTGGCAACTTCAGCAAGAAAAAAGTAAATAAATTAAGAAATTCGAATATATTCTAAACTAGATTTGACACTTTTGTGCACATGTACATATGTTTCCGCTATAGTATTATCATATATGTACAAGTATATGAATGGCTTTTCAACCAAAATTAACATAATTTGTGTACATATAACTAATACCATAAAGTATCTAATAAAATATCCGCATGCATTGAGGTTTTATGTTTAATGTAGTCCCAAAAGTGCTAGCCATTAGGCATGCGTATTGTTGATGTGTATTCAAATTTGCACTTACATACATATACATATGTATATACACGGTATATATATACATACATATATGATCTTAAATACTAAGTTATTTGGCGTATTAAATAACGACGTTTAGGCACTGGTCATTGAACTATTAATATTATACAACAACTGACGTCACAGTTTTCATGTGAAATTTAAAATTATAGCAAAGACAATTTTTTGCTGCTACAAAAACTACTGCGTGGATAGAACATAAGAAAATCAGTCTCTAACTTTGGCCAAATATCGTTTCCAACTCATCTTGCAGGTACTTCTCACAATTGCTTAATTTAAAAATGGGGTATGTTGAAATACAAAATTGTGCGCAAATCATCCCTGCATATATTTTTATTTCGAGACCATATAAACTATGATGACTAGCAGATGAAGAAGACCGACTATGGCCACGACTTGGAATCTGACACCATCCTGGATCAGGCGTCATTTAACAGCACCTCTAATTGAGGGAAACTTGTTTTTAGGCTGAAATCTATACAATTAGCAAGTCGGCAAAGTCATACAGTCCAGCTGAGATCAAGACTCTTAGGTCCTTCGGCCCAACGAACAGTAAATATCAGATTTTATGGAACAGAGCACGGAGCGCTGCAACCTAGAAAATCTTTGGGGGATCCCTATTATAGGTTCTTAACTTTGAAAGCTACGGGTTCAACTGTTTGCAAATTTAACTATTACAGTCTAACAGGCTAACCTAATATTAGCGGCTTGCGTTTTTTTTTGAGTCACCCGAAATTGGCTTGCGAGCGTTTGCATTTGATTTCATTGAACGAAACGTCAAATCAAAATGTCACACAGAACAAAAATTGGAAATTGAATTAGCTTAGACACGCACACCGTTCAATTTCGGTTGTTGCCATACAAGTTGCATGTGCATGAGGCATTTTTGACAGTAAATTCGTGACGTGCGTGAATATTAGGTTTGCCTGTAACAGGGCAATTCTGGGCTAACATATTAAAAACCAATCTTAGAAAAAAAGCTCTCTCATTCACCACTCACGATGAAATGCTATTTTGAGAGAAATCACTTGCTTAGCTCACGTCGCTCCAACAGTCGCAATTCCGAGTGAGCAGAGCACTGTTGTGCTTGTCGAATGATGCAGATCGAAACCTCGGGCAGCGATTTTTCTTTTTACTTTTTTTAACAATTTCCTTTCTAAAAAATTTCGTATTGTGATTGCCCCTTTCTCTTTTCGCGTTCGTTTCTAAAATAACGGCAAACGGTGAGAAAACTTTGTGTTCGTTTCTTAAAATGTCACACTCTTGTAAGACAAAAAATTAAATTATAGTTTAAAAAACTAAAACCTCCCTATTATAAAAGGAAGGTAAAAAGACACATTCTCTGCCGTTTGAAGCTTTGTCAGGGGAGATGGTTGCCCTGAAAATCAGATGGTAGGCTAAAACGATAATATTATGAAATTCGATAGCTGGATAGGACAGGGTTGCACTTTTACAGGGTTGAGTGTAAAATCAAAACAAATACATTTTACACCGTGCAAGGGCAACATTTTTTGGTAGATTAGATTTCACTGTGTTATGCCTGGGGCACATATGTGTTATGTGGGACACACATGTGGTATAGATCGTAATTTTGACACCATACTACGATGTGCGTCTCTAACCTTAAAAAGAAAGAAATATATTTTTTTAATTTAATTTAATTTTTAGAAATTTATTTTATATGATTTATATTTTTTTAATATTTGATTGTTTTAAAAAGAATTTTTTTTTTTAATTTTGTAAAATTTTTAAAAACGATTTTTTTCTAATTTTTAACTAAACATTTTTTTTCAATTCAATTTTCTTTTTGACTTTATTTTTTTTTTAAGAGAAATATAATTTTTATTTCATTTATTCTTTAGGATTTTTTTTAATATTTTTTTTTCCATTTACAACGCTTTTTTAATTAAATGTTCTTTTAATCTTTAGATTATGTTTCACAGATAAAAATTTGTTTCTTTCATTTAATATTTAAGTACCCACTATTTTTTCTTTTTTATTTAATTTGTTTATTTTTCTAATTTATTTCCTTAGATTTTTACATTTTATTATTTCCAAAAGAAACATTTATATATTTTTTAAATTGATTTCATTTTGAAAAATATTTTTTATTTGATTTTGCTATGTTTTAATGTTGTTTTGAAAAACTTTGTGCTAAAAGGCGAACAGCTCAATGCGTTGGCAGATCTTTGAATTTGTCTTTCGAAAGATAGTAAAGAGCTTTCAAGGTAGTTGTGATAATAGGCAATTAACTATCTTAGGAAAGACTTTTGCCTCTCGGTAGATTATGGTGAGTTGAAAGACAGTTACCAAAATTGGCCTGTAGGCCTTGGCAACGAACGAGAATCACACGTGTTTCTTCGCCTTTAAAATATGGTTGGCATTACGACCCATTTCATCTCCATCATACAGGGTCAGACCACGGTGCTTGTGAAAACGCAAATGGGTATGACTGATTAGATATCTAGTTAGCAGTTTATTGTCCTTGGCTCTATTTAAATGACTATTGTCTTCCTAGACAATCTGGCCTGTTTTACTTACTGCGTTCTGCGTTTACCCACTCGGTAGTTGCAAATCTTAAAGAAGACCAACTAAGTCCACATAATGTTTTGTAGACCCACAAGGGCAGATGATGTGGTTTCTGTCGGCAGTTCTTCGGCGGCTTCGATTTCCTCGATGCCACAGTGACTTGGTATACAGCAGAGTTTTACCATGTTTTCCGTTGTCAAAACTTGAAGAGTGTTACAACACTCCTTGATAGCATAGATGTAATCATCCTATAGAGTACCGAAGTGTGCGGAAAATCCAAGAAATATAACACGAAGAGCATTGAAAAGTTCTGAGAGTAAGTCCAAAAAAAAAATCCAAAGTTCTCAAAAAATATCCCAGAAAGTAAAACATCAAGAATCACAACATGTCTGGAAAAAAATCCCACACAAATCCGGAGACCACCTTGACACACCCGAAACAACAAACAGTTCAGCATATTATCAATTGCCAAATTAAAAAAAAAAAAAATTTGGGTATTTAATATCCAAACAGGTACTCAAACATAAACTGTGAAAACAAAAGAATTTAAGTGTGCCCATCACTGATACAAACTATTTACTAAGTGCATATAAGTGAGCAACTCTCGTGGAATCTTAAAGTTTTTTATTGATACTTCTTTTAGCTACTTTTACATATTTATGTATCATTCCAAACCAAAATAGCGCCAATCAGTCTGTTATTTGATATTTACAAATTAATTAACAGAAACAATATCACCCCAAAGAAAATACCCAAAGTAGCACTTACATACTTATATATTTATTTTTTTGTGAATAACAAATTTTGAAACTCTTTTGGTGGTTCTTCTAAAATTAACACCTTTGCTCTAATTCGTGGCCAAATTCATTTGGTAGACGCGTATATAAAAAAGCTGCGTTGACATATATTTGACAGTCTGAAAATAGTTTCCCACTCGGCACAAAGTACTCATTCATACTTCAGCTATTCAAAATTGTAAATATTTTACTTTGACACTTCTTGAACAACTACTACTACAATGAAATACGCGCTCACTTTCGTCTTCATTGCGCTGTTTGCACTCACCATGGCTGCGCCAGCCGATGAACAACACGTCGAAATTTTGCGTCAGGATGCTGATATTGCGCCCGAAAGCTACAAATACGGTTTCGAGACAAGCGATGGCACTCAGCATGACGAAGAGGGTCAGCTGAAGAACGTTGGCACCGACGATGAAGCGATCGTTGTAAAGGGTTCATACAAATATGTGGGTGATGATGGTGTCACCTATCAAGTGAGCTACACTGCCGACGAGAATGGTTTCCAGCCGGTGGGTGAACACTTGCCAAAGGCTTAAATGGGGGTATACTTAGGAACTAATCCTTCTTTGAGGTTTGTAAGAGCTGAATGGTTTTTGGGGAATATAATATTCGTATATTTATGTCGGTTACTGCTGTTAGCTGAGCGTTTAATATAAAATTGCTATAAAAGAAAAATGATAGTTTTCCCTTTTAACCGGAAACAGTCTCGAAAGACTTGTTCTATCAAATTTTGTATCAAAAATATTTTTAAGTTACCAATGTTTATGTACGTATGTAAGTTTTTCGAAATCGGACTATTTTTTGCTGTATTTCGTTTGCACTAAATTACACTTTCAAATAAAAGACATGCATATTTTTGACACTGACTGAGACCGTTACAAGTTTTGTTTTTTTATTTATTAGGTAGTTTTTTCACACACACACATATATTATTTTCTACAACTTCCTCATCCTCATCATCATCAACATCATCATGTAAAATTGCGTTTATAGGTAAATTTTGCATATTGGGTTTTCTTAGTATCGCTTCCGATTGTATCGAAGAAACGCAATAACTTTTACTACAACTCTGTTTCATATTTACACTTTCACGATTTTGCTTTATCTGCATTAAATATTCTCACTCCAATCCATCAACTTATTTCGGTATGTGTGCGCCTTCTGGCTGGAAGCCATTTTCATCCGCCACAAAATTGATTGTGTAAGTTTGTCCATCGGGCGCCACCCAAGAAACACTGCCGCGCACTGATAGGGACTCATTTTCGGTGCCTGCATTGTTGAGTACTGCCTCCTCGGTACGTGTTGTGCCATCACTCAGTTTGTAGCTGTAAGTAAGAAATGTAAGCGAAAAAAAGTTTATTAAAAATTTTACTCAGCTAAATCGTAGTCACGATTCTTTGTATGGCGTGAATCGAAGAGTGGCAACCCCTGAAATAAAGGTTGGGTAAATAAATACACGTACGGGTTAAAGTTGTATAATGGAGTTGGCGGAGGGTTGTTTTGGTAGGGACTCTCTGTTAATATTAAGTTTAGGCTTCCTGATTTATGTAGCGTATTTCAAGCAGATAGAACTACAGAAGGGGTCAGTTGACTAGCTACATACTTGCGTAATACCGATTAGTAAGATAAATATCTACTTCGGAAGTCAAGTGGCAATTAGAGCTCCATGATCGCGTGGATTGCGTTGGAAACTGGCTGTGGATTGCGTTCGGTTTTAAAGACTTTCAATCAAGCTGAGGTAATATTTTCCGACACAGAGGGTATATAGAAGTTCCTAAGGCAACCTGTGGACTGCTCCTAGAAAAAAGGCCGAAAGCCCCCTTAATAGATCGCAAGCGATCAAGAGAGGTTTTTCAGCTGGCTAAGCGCTAACTCTGTATTCTGAAAGGAACCCCAAACGGATTTTGTCCAATGGGAACCTATGCGGTACGAATTAAAATCGTTTCGGGCCCCTATTACTGCAACTGTTTCTAGGTGGAATTATCTCAGTATTTGCTTACCAGTTGTCAACTTTTTCAAGGCTAAGGTTTAAGCATCTACGCTCGTGCTTCATCGAAACCTGCGAGAAAATCTCTATGCGGTATTTGTTTGCACTATGACCTGAAATTAAACGCCTAGAGATTGTAAATATGGTCATATTTACCCGGTGGATTTCTTTTTATGTCTATGCGTACACTGTTGATCCAACGTTGTCGAACGCATAGGCAATCTTTAAGCTGACAAAGATATGAAGTATGGACCAACGCCACTAGGAACTGCTCGGACGTTTTAATGGCTTCGTTACAATCCACTTAATTAATGTCTTCTTCATATTGTTCGAAACGATTCTATAACTACACGGCCACACAAAGTGAAAATGTAACGGCCAGAGTGATCCGAGTTTCGGAGTTAATTTTACGGCATTATGTCCGGTTTTGACATAAATCGAGCTCTAATCCATTGTCTAGGGTACTCAGCTAACGAATTAATGAATTTACTTAATTAAAGCTCTAAAAACCGATTAATCCCTTCCTTTCCGAATTTTTTCGACATAGGAAAAATATTTTGAGTTTGATTTAAAACAATCTGCAAAGTTGAAAGTTTGAAGGTCTTGTCATGATAGAGATCAAATATACAATATAATTTTAATAATTTATGTTTTTTGAATAAACCCATAGCTCCAAGATAGAGATACAGTTTGGTAGCCAATTAGCTGTCATGGGAAGAAGAGGCTTAATGTCAAAATTTTCAAATTTTTGCGGGTTTTCTGTATAAAAGTCACTTCTAATAAATGCTTTGTACTACAGGCTTACAGTGGCGAAAATATAAGTAGGGAAAAGACATTTTGGCATTATTTCGCTATTTGCCTTTCGTTTATTAATTTTTTATGAAAGTGTGGCTCGCTATCTAACAACAACTTTGTATGAAAAAAATTATCGAAATTCGCCAAATTTCATCAAAAGTCTGAACTTTTTAATTAGGTTTCCTGGAAATATTTTGAGTACGCAGTTTTGTAGCCCATTCAGTTTGGGTATAGTAAAGTGGAAGATGTTGCTTATTTTCTCCATACCAAAAAATTTTCCAACATGTATAGAAAAAGATACGTGGACAAAGAATTGTCTAAAATCAACGGTAAATCCAAGCTACTTCAGACGTGCACCTTATTTGATATTTAATGTGATTCAAGACTGTATACTCAGAAAAAATTCTAAAAAAATCAAATTAAAAATTTCAATATTTTGATGAATAGTTTGAAATTTTGTTTTAAAAGCTACATAGATATGTATATTTTCAGAAAAAAATTAAAAACATTTTTAAACCAACAGAAATAGCCAAAAACTTGCTAAAATGTCTTTTCCCCATTTACATTCTCGTCACCGTATGTCAACAAAAAAATTTACAATGATGGCATAAAATGAACTCAGTCAGTTCTGCAAGGGTTGCTCACTTATCTTAACCGTTTTCGGTGACCTTTGAAACCATTGAATTGCCATTTCAAAAAAGTTTGCATCAAAAATTTTTTGTAAGAGGGTACAAAAATTCCTTCATAGATAGAAATTAGGATGATAAAATGATTTCCAAAAATATACTCTCTCACACGAATTATATATTTGAAAATAGAAATCCTATCTCATGGGCATATTTCATAAGACTTTCACGATAGCTATCATTTGAAGTTGAATTATTTTGGTCGCTACATTGTTGAACCGAATCTCGATCTAAAAGACATGCAGCCTGCTTAGCAGTCTTGAATATTCTCTTAAATATTTATATTTATGCCGGAACCTCTTAAATAAGATCAGATTAACTTAAAAATCTGTAGCCTATTACGACGTAATCCATAGTTTGTGTGGACGTTTAAGAAATCATTTGAAGATTTTTTTTGAGGTAGTCTATCATCAGTAAGGAAAAAATAATAAATCTGGCACTAATTTAAGAGGGTTTCGGACTACAACCGTAAATAAACCCCTCACAAATAAATAAGACACCTGACTTGCTAGTCAGAGTTTCTTCCAGGCATTTCATTTACATACCAGCAGCGCTGTCGTTCAGTTCTGGCTTTCTATTGTTTTTTGAAATATTGGTTGCCTCTCCATGTGCAAAAAAATCATAGGAGGGAAAACTAATTACTTCTAGGTCAAAACAGAACCGCCAGTGGTGCGCTTCATATTTTATGGCCTCCAATAAAAATGTTATGGAATCATTGCTTTTCTCAATTTTATTTCGTACTGTCATTAACGTGACCATTATCAAGAATTTTCATAAAAAATGTTGATAAAAAAAATATTTTTCCTAACTTCTTAACCAGTTTTTATGAAATTTGCATTGCAACACTGTAAGACCCTCCTTAACTTAACGAAAAAACATTCGTAAAAATCGGTTCTTTAACAAAGAAGTGATGGGAGAACATATATGTGTCCAAAAAAAAAAAACCGAATTTAAATGCTCTCACCCCATATGATGGGTTTTCTGAAAAATACTGATTTTCAAGAATGTATACTATTTCTAAGAAAGACTGTTTTCTCTATATAAAATACGTAGAAAACTTTGAGCGTTTTGAGCGACCACTAAATGTTTTCTGATTTCAAGTATTAAATATAGGAGTATATTTTTTGTGTGGGGTTGAAATTCAGACTTTAATATTTGTACATGAATTTTTGGACCACCCTCATGTACAAACATACATATGTAGTTTTTCATGGCAGAATATACTCAAAGGCTTACATTGCCTGCCAACGGGCGACCGCTATTAGAAAAACTTTTCTATGTTTGTTTTTTTTTGTTTTTGTTTATGTTGGTCGGAAACTGGGCTCGAAGCCAGGCCTTGCGGAATTGTAGCGCGCTATGCTAACCTCTACATCACATATGTACATATAAGAAACATACACAATAAATCGAGAAATTTTTCAAAAACAAAACATTCTTTCCTTACACACTAACCCCATAAAAATCCATTCTGTAGGACTTTTTAGTTCAAATTTTGAATAAATAAATATAAAATAAACCCATACACCCATTTTCAGTTTTGACTTATGTATGGTATTTCTGTGGGTAAATTTTGAACTGTGGTGTATTCAGAGACTTGTAGTATAATTTTGTGACAACTATTTTTGTGGTACGATTTAACCCATTATATCCCTGAAGACAAAAATGTCCATTTTTTTAGGAGTTAGAGGGTTAAAATTAGTGTTGGGAAGTATCGAGTAATTTTGAGGATCGATTTCTTCGGTATCGATACTTTTAAGGATCGGGTATTTTTCAGAGTACCGAGTACTTTCTTTAAATATACACACGTTGGTAACATTTTCAATGCTTAGTGTAGAAATCTCACAAGCTGGCAGTATTTTATTACAAATAATATATGAATCCTGAATTATACGTCAAATGAATGGCTAACTGTACTTGTGTATTGTACCTACCTAAAATTTATTGAAACTGCAAATTGAGTACAATCATTTCTGAATACCGTTAAATGTAAATAAAACTCAGTACTTTTTAAGTATATTCGACACTTAATACTGACTACTTTGAATCGATCCTAAGTACATGTATCAAAGCGATTATTGGAACAGAGTATTTTTGAGAGTACTGACCACTTTCGAGTTCTTTTAAGTTCCGAGTACTTTCGGGTTCCTTTTTTGAGCACTGAGTTCTTTGGAGTAATCAGTATCGATACTTTTAAAAATCAGGTGCTGTCGATCCTTTTGAGAATCGAGTTCTGAGTACTTTTGGTATCTATGCTGCCCAACACTAGTTAAAATGTATTCTACCTACAACTTCTGAATGCATCCTCTATCTCAAATGTAAGCATCACATGGCTACCCATGCCCATTTACCAAGAGGGTATCCAAAAAAGGGAAGTTTTAACACCGATAAAATATAACTCAGACGTAAACTCACACAACTCATACGCTCCCAAATTTCTTACTATGCCTATAAGAGGCGGCTCTAGACAATATTTTTGGCGCATATCCGGCAAACAAAACAATATTGCATTGAAATGCATAATACAACCAAAAGCTTACCTGAATTTATAACCATTAATGCCAATATTATCCACTTCTTGTTCTAAAATTTCCACTGGTGCTTGTGGTGCAGCCAAACTACCGACGAGTAGGCACAAAAAACTCACGACTAGCATCTGTTTGAAGAGAAGAAGAAATGCGTAATCGCAAGTTAAATACACTAGAGTCCTTGTTAAGCTGCATATGTACATACATATGTATGTATGTGTACTTTCACAATCACTTTCACTTACCAATTTCATATTGGCAAAGAACTAACACCTTTTTACTTATCAACGTTCAAGCGTTTGCGTGTGCTGACGTCCCTTTCTCTTCTTTAATTTATTTTTATTTTTTCACAACTACTTGGCGCTACCGATTTAATGCGGTAATTGCACGTCTTGCTCACTCGAAGGTAGGCAAGAATAATTTTTCCAGTGCACTGCAAATGCATTTTATAGTCTTGAGCGATCCAATGCAGCAGCAGCAACATGCATGACACGCGTCGTCAACGCATGCGCCATGGCGGCAGCCGTTTAGAATCTGCAAATGTCATAGGAGCTTATAAGGCAGTGAGTGCCAAAGAAGAAGCGCCGCCAGCGTTGATCAATTGGACTTAGCAACAGCTTGAAACCCCCAAACAAAAATTCAAAGCTGTGACCAGAAGCTGATGTACTATTGCAAATTGGTAATCGCAAATATTGTACCAAAGCGTGATCGATGGGCAGCGTCATGCATTAATGCAAGCAGAATGCAAGCAGAATGCAAGCGCGTGCGCGAATGCGTACTCGTACTCGTACTCATACGCCATGGCGTCCACTTAAGATGCATACAAAGCTGCTTGCTGCTGAGTAGGTAGGTAAAACTGCTGCAACTCCAGCTAATTTGCAAAACGATGACGGCGACGTTGTTGGCGAGCACAACAGCTCAGCGACGGACATGGGCAGCAGTTTAACTTGTTTGTGCGCTTTATTGCAAATCCAAGCAGGCTCGCGGGTGGGGCACTATTGCACAAGAATACTCATATGTAAGTAAATAAGTACACAGTAAAGTAATCGTAAACTAGCATTTGGCGTGCGCTGATTTACGCAAATAATTTAGAAATTTTTACTATCGCCACATTGTCATAAGTTTGTGCATTGCACATTGGCAATACACACACACGCACACACACATGTGTGTCTAGTTGATAGAGTCATCAGCATTAGCCGCTGTGAAACATGTTTCTTCTGCAAGCAAGTACAAGTTTTCTGCATTTTTTCTGCAATTCTAATCGCTGCGCGAGTATGTTTCACTAAGCTTGCAAACAAGATGCTACAACAACAACAACATGCACACTTAACAAGTAATCGTTTATTGCAAGACAACAACACTTTTTATGGTAAAATACGCACCAGCGCAATGTTAACAAACCACTGATCGGTGGCCTTCACAAATTTATTGGTGAATAATTTTTAATTTAAAATAGCTTTAAATAAAAGTATTTGAAATAAATTAACTGATAGAAAAAAAATTAAATAATTCGAAATGAAGAAGCAGGGCCACTTTTGTATACACAATGCACATTTTCCGCCGTAATTGGCATCAAAAGCACTAACTAGGCATCACTATTCAAAATCGGTGTCATTATTTTTAGTCATCCATGAGTTATTATTGAAAATTCTCCAAGCTATGTTTTTTGTAGCCTTTGATAAATAAATACCCATCATAAGTCATCCGTTATTCATCATTCAGTATTAAACTATCGTCTATATATACACGTACATATGTAATACGCGAAGGGATTCTTTTTATCAAATTAAAGGACAATTAGGTTTTATTTTTTCGAAAAGGGTAGCTGCCTTTTAAAAAAAATTTATTCAATTTATTAAAAAAAAATAAATCAACTATCACAATATGGTTATCAATCGAAATGGTTTCGAAAAGCCTTTATTTCTTAACTTAATAAGGAATGTTGCCACCTGTTAAAAAAATCAATTTTAATTTTAATTAAGGTAATTGAAATATATATTACCCTATGTGTGCCATACGCAAACAATTTAAGTAGGTATTAGTTGAAAATATTTCGAAGAGGGTTGCCACATGTTGCAATAATCGAATTTAGTTAACTTATACACAAGTCATGTGAAATTTTAAAATATGAATGTTACATAAAAGAGTTTTAGGAAATATTTAGTTTGAACGTGTAGAATGTAAGGTGTTTGAAGAGGGTTGCCACCTATTGAAAATGTTAAATTCAAATTATATAATAATATAAATGAAATAAAAGTCGGGTATCAAGCGAAATTGATTTGAAAAGGATTTATTTCTGAACTCTTTTTAGGAGAGTTGCCAGTTCATCAGTTAATTGAAATTTATCATAGTGTCAGACGAAAGATCTTTAAAAAGATTTTAGTTAAATATAATATTGAAGAGTGTTGCCACCTGTTTTAAAAGTCTTATTTATTTAGGCCTTGCACAAATTAAATGAAATATTAATACTTGGCTTGAAAATATTTTTGATTTGGGTTGCCATCCATTCGAAAAGTAAAATCTATGTACCAACATACATGTATATAGTATATGCGCGAAGGCATTTTTGTGCAGGTCATCTGGTCTGCGCCATAATTTCAAAAGTGAGATGTCAAATTAAAGAAGTAGGCATGCAGATGTGTAATAAGATTTTAAAATTAAAAATTAAAACTTTTTTTTTTAAATTTGATGAAATGAAATACCAACAACTTGCGGGCCCTCCCTTCACTCAGAAACGGTTGAACGGATTAGATGAAACATTTGAAATATTTTTAATGTGTAGGGTTGCCATCTCATTTAAAAGTTAAATTCAGTGCTGGCGGTTTAACGTCATGCGAGTTCACTAGTAAGTTACCAATCATCGTTCATCATTCAGCATTCAACATCATTCCCCCAATCATCACTCACCATTATTATTTAATTATCAGCGTTCGCTAATTATCGTTCATCATTCAGCATTCATTAGTCACCATACGACTATCATCATAAATCTATATCAATACATAACTCATTCTTCTTTCAACATTCCTCCTTCGTCAGTCAACATTCAGCATTCACCATCGACCATTCGTTGTTCATTATCCACCAATCTTCATTCTCCTATTATCACTCGTCATTCATTATTTATCATTCACAATCATCATTCAAAATTCACCAATTATTTTTTTTGCTTTACCAAATCATCATTCATCACTAATCGTTCTTTATTCATCATTCAGTATTCAGCTATAATACATTGTGTAACTATTCGGAATTCATTATCAATGATTACCCATTCATAGTTCATCATTCAGCATTCATTATTCTTCATTCATTGTTCTACTTTCATTATTACTCATTCGCCATTCAAAACTTAGCAATTATCATTTATCGTTCATCATGCATTATTCACCATTCCTCGTCTATCAATCAGAATTCACCCCTCCTCTTTAATTATTACTCATTCCGGATTCATCATGACTGCCATCGCTTTGATGATTCAAATTATTTTTTTGAGGTGAGTAAATTCGGAGTTCTCATCCATCACATATAACTCGGCATTCACCACTTTCTATCGTGCATTATTCACCATTCTTCAATCAGCTGTCAATATTCATCTTCTTTGATTTAGAACTCAATATTCATCAAGGATCATTATCGTTTTCCTGAACAAGTGAAATCGTATTCCTATTCGGATTGTAGATTTCAGGAGCCGGAATTTTCAGCACCGCACGAAGCATGCAATTAAATAAGCTATGTGTATACGCAGCCTTGTAATACTCCAAAAAAAAAAAAGAACATAAAAATTCTCATAAAATTTGCATTCTTCACCAAATTTGGTGCTAAAGAGCTTCAACGGAGTATTGCGTATATTTTAGAATGCCATTTAACGACCTGCGAAGGCATACCATACCAGTAATTAAACAACAAAAACTTTTATACCTTCGTTAACATTATTCAATTACAGCTAATACAAATTTTGGGTTCGTAAATTTGAAGATAGCAAAACATTTGCCGCTGGCCACCAAGTATTTCGTTGCAGCTGTGCTTTTGACCAAGACATCATCCATACGCGATTTTTTAATTGCAATGTTGAACTTCAATTGCATTTATTTGTATGCAATTCTTGAATAGGATTAGCCGATATTGTTCTTTGGTATTAAATAAACTAAAATTTTAAAATGGTTTGCATTGACATTTCGATTAAAAGTGTAAATTATATGGAGATTCTAATCGGCTTAAGTATGAGTTTGTGTTACAAAAAAAAAAAACGAAAATGCAAAATGCGAAATGCGAAATAGTAGCTCGACTGCAAAAATAAGTTGTTTCTGTTTCTTTTTTTTTTTTGTTTGCCATCTTTTGAGTATTTTGAGAACTGATGGCCAATAAATGCGTCTAAAGTTACCAAGGCTTTGACAAAAAATGACTGGGGAATTTTAGCGCTGAAATCTTGCTTATCATCATTGCTTATTATAATGACTACTGAAAAAGGTGTCAGAAGATTCGGTAGTAGAATGAAGGTTCGCAAGCTTGCATAAGTATCAACGTGGTTGTTGTGGCTATCTTCATCCAGATCCTGATGGCGACACACTTTGGCCTGAAGGGCGGGCAATATCGACATGAAAGGAAAGAGTTGGAGCTTCCTTGACTACTTGTGAGCTTCTCTTGGATATATGAGCATCCGGTGAACTCTGCGAAAGCTGGGGAAATAAAGCGCTCACTTTACTGTGAGGTCATTCTGGCCGAGGCTGGACCAGGGAAGGTCTGGGGATCTCTTAGGCTCTCGAAGCGGTCTCTCTCGGTTGTGGTGGATGTACTGACTGACCACTGTCCTATCAGTATTCTCGCAGTGAGATTAGATATCTTAACGGACCGCTTTTGTCGCAACTGCACGGAGGACGACCGTTCGCAGTGGTATCATAAAAAAGCGACCATCGCTGACCTAAGTGAGTCCATAAACTAACCTAACATAGCCAAAACCAGCCTAACGTAACAAGACAGAAGAATGTCCATAAACTTGTTTTCAATATGGGATACACATCTTAATATGTAAATACAAAGCCGATGAAAAAGTACTTTCATTCAATCGCCATTCGTACAACTTATGTCGAATTTCCACTAGGCATTAAATGACAAAAAAAAATGTATTTCAAAGTTGGGCAATAAAAAAATTCCTATGCATTAGCATTAGAAAAATTGTCATTAAATTCGTACGCACATGGAATTTTTTTATGGGCACATATTTTCGTCAACAATGTTTAGTGGAAATTTGGCATTACTATGTTACAGATCTATATGGGTAGGATGAAGCTTCGATATTCGATAACTTCCTTCTTATTTTAGTCTGCAATGAAAAGTAGATGAACTTTCTGCCTACAAAAGAGTCGCTAACAGCTAGGTGTCAAGTT